CGAACACGAAGCAAAGAAAATTGAAAAACACGACCAACCACGTATAGACCGAGTTATAGAACTATGACTTGATTTTTCCAGTTACCAATGAAAATTCATCGAATTTCTTTATAATTTCATTAGATATTTCAATAAATTTAACAGTGAAGGAAAGAAGTAACAAAAAACACGTCTATGTAACTAATATCATATTTATTGAGAATAAAGTTTTACTTTTGTTGTTATCTTGCAAGGAACTAGACACGGCAACATATAAACATCTCATGTATTTCTCTATCTTAACCTTGCTAGACCAAGATACCAAAATGTCAATAAAGTAATGCATGAGCCGAACTAAATACTTTTACAAACATGTGGAATTAATTTGTATAAATTTTGAAAAGATCTTGAATTTCCAGCCAAGCCAAACACGAGCCCATCATGAATGATTATTCTGAAATGGGAGAAATTAATGGTGGTCATCCAAGTATTCATCAATTTCATGCCAATGACACATCAATTACACTTCTAGTTGTGTTCATGCCTTCTAATTTGAAACTTTCCCATTTTTATTTCACATTACTTGAGTAAGGTTGAAGACACTGAAAATGTGAAACAATTTTAAATCTAAAGCATGCCAAGACTGTTTTGAAAGAAACCTTTATTTTAACTACTCACAACTTTTATAAAATCCGATGAAAACGAGATTCTCTGCATAAACGAATCACATTTTCCCAGCCCAAATTACCAATTGTAAAGGAGAATAATCTTTCAAGAATTCCTTTTTCATCTCAAGAATACGGCATGGGTGTAATGGTGCTGGTTTTCTGCATGCTCTTTTCATGGATCTTCCTTCACAGGTTTAAGCAGAGGCATGCCAAAGGTCCAAAAACGTGGCCATTTTTGGGGGCTGCCATAGAACAGCTGATGAATTATCACAGAATGCACGACTGGCTTGTCAAATACCTGGCTCGGTCGAGAACGGTAGTCGTGCCAATGCCTTTCACAACATATACATACATTGCAGATCCAACTAATGTGGAGCATGTCCTGAAAACAAGCTTCTGCAATTATCCAAAGGTGATTTTGATCAACGACAAAATAAACCACTAAAAAGAAAACAACTCATTTCATATTTAATTAATTTCATTTTCCACGAAAGTCACAAAGAATCAAATTTGTCTGATTTAGACTTAATTGTACTCATTATGCATTTCAATTTTCTGGGAAATTTATTTTGATATAGAATGGATTGATTTATAATCCCAATTTTTCGTTTCTCTATTGAAGGGTGAAGTATACCATTCATACATGGAAGTTCTGCTTGGAGACGGTATTTTCAATGCAGATGGTGAGCTCTGGAGGAAACAGAGGAAGACTGCTAGTTTTGAGTTTGCTTCCAAGAACTTGAGGGATTTCAGCACCGTGGTTTTCAGAGAGTATAGCCTCAAACTCTCTGCCATTCTGAGCCAAGCATCTTACAGCAATCAGCAAGTAGATATGCAGGTAATTTCTACATGTTTAGATGTGGAAGCCCTGTAGGATTGAAAGAAGAATGAAAAGAATAAAGCATTTTTATTAGGGTTAAACTACGACCCCTTATGGTAACATCGAAGGATTTAAGTCTTTTAGAACAAGAAATCACAATAAACTAATCAAATGATTGATATGGTTGACGATATATGATCTAGTCGAATTTTTCTTCACTTAATTTGCCCTGGACAACATGTTTCAAAGATCTCGAGAAGAATTCACAGTTAAATGCAATCTTTTTGGCTAAAAGGAAATTAAGTTGTCTTTTTCCTTCCAGGAACTTCTAATGAGAATGACTCTAGACTCAATATGTAAGGTGGGATTTGGTGTGGAAATAGGAACATTGGCTCCCAATTTACCAGACAATCTTTTTGCCAAGGCCTTTGATACTGCAAACATTATAGTAACTCTTAGATTCATTGACCCTTTGTGGAGAGTCAAGAAATTCTTTAATGTGGGATCAGAAGTTATCCTTGATCAGAGTATTAAAACTGTTGATGATTTTACATACTCTGTCATCCAGAGGAGAAAAGCAGAAATAGACAAAGCCAGAGAGTATAATAAAGATGAAAAGGTAACCTGATTTCAACTTTTTATTACCAGATAAAATGGTCTAATTATACACTTGTTAGTTTCAATGTTGACTATTTATTTCATAAATATGATCAGATCAAGCATGACATATTGTCAAGATTCATTGAACTGAGCAAAGATCCCGAAAACAATATGAATGATAAAAGCCTGAGAGATGTTGTCCTAAACTTTGTAATTGCGGGGCGTGATACCACTGCTACAACACTTGCGTGGGCTATCTACATGATAATGTCCCATGAAGGTGTTGCAAACAAGCTTTACTCAGAACTAAAATTTTTTGAAGAACATAGTGCAAAAGAGGACATCTCATTAGATACGTATCATACAGAGGGTCCAGAATCATTCAATCAGAGAGTAGAGAAATTTGCAGGACTTTTGAACTATGATTCCTTAGGGAAACTGTATTATTTGCATGCTGTGATTACAGAAACACTTCGATTATACCCAGCAGTTCCCCAGGTTAGAGATTTCTTTAATTTAACGCATTTCAAGGGCAGAAAGTGATTGAGGAGAAAATGATTTACAGGATCCCAAAGGCATATTAGAAAATGATGTTTTACCAGATGGAACCAAAGTAAAGGCTGGAGGCATGGTGACATATGTACCATACTCTATGGGAAGAATGGAGTACAATTGGGGTCCAGATGCAGCTTCATTCAAGCCTGAGAGGTGGCTCAAAGATGGGATCTTCCAAAATGCATCTCCATTTAAATTCACTGCATTTCAGGTACATTTCGCTACAATTGCGACTAACAAATCCTGAAATGGTAAAAAAAGGTACAATCATTACTTGCCTATTGTTAAAACCATCACTTGTTGAAAGTAAATTGTATGCATGCAGGCAGGACCAAGGATATGCCTTGGGAAGGATTCAGCATATCTCCAGATGAAGATGGCACTGGCCATTTTATGTAGATTCTATGAATTCAAATTGGTTCCAGGACATCCAGTGAAGTACAGGATGATGACAGTTCTGTCTATGGAAAATGGAATGAAGCTAACAGTCTCCAAACGATAGTAATTTCTTGAGAAGACACAAATCGAGAAGTGTCTGTTTACATTGGTCCAGATAGAAACAAGCAAAGGTCTCATGTAGACTTCGGGACTTCATAAAGGCCGCAGTACAATCAAAATCAACGAGGGAAACTATGTATTTGAACTGTTAACATATGTATGTTTAAACTAGTTTTAGCATTGCTGAACTCTTCAAAAATCCGAAGTATAAATCTTTTGTGTTCAAGCCAGGCCAAATCGTATTAGTAATCGGATAAACATCAAATGACATGGAAAATTCTCTAGCTTGAATAGAAAAGCAGATCGGTAAATATAATTTAGCAAAAACACAAACATAAGCGGTAACTAAGTTTGAAAAATATGAAACTTGTGCAGTTATGCCTCACTCACCTGTAGCATAATCGACATGGTCGCTGTTTGAAAAATTATTATTCAAAATCCCAGTACCAGATTCAGTTTCTCATTTGGAACCAAAAGTTAATTGCCAATCTGATTAGTAAAACACTGGAAATTGCATCAACAGATCACCGATAATAGTCATAGAAATGGATAATACCTAATTGATGCAAGTTAGGGCTTGCACCTCTAGAGTAGCTGCTGTATTGTCGTTTGTCTCGCATTCGACGGTCGTTTCAACTGCAGAGGAAGTTTTATAGGTTAATTGTATTGGTGGTCACCCAACTTTTATTCAAACTGCAATTAGATCAATTTATGTCACTTAACTTTAATTTAATTGCTACTATATCACTCCGTTTAGATTCTTCATCTATGTAACAAAACATGCTTAATTAGTCGTTGAAAATAATGTATGAGTACACTAACATCATGTGAATTAACTTGACAAATCAACTGCATACAGCAATACAACTTATAAAAATTTTAAGGAAAAAATGCTTTAAAAAAAAAAAGCATTAATGGTTAGCATTTTCTTTACACGTTAACTCAAAATTAAATGTCCATTAATTTCATAGCAATATGGGGTTATGGAATTGAACTTAAGGACAAGAATTTTATCAAGAACAATCCAATGATTAAATAAGTTTATCGCTATGATTGTAATTTAATTAAAGTGAAGTGACACAAATGTAATTCAACTAAAGTTAAGTGATTAGGTTACTACATATTGCAGTTAAGTGACCTAATTGCAACTGCAATGAAAGCTGGGTTACCATTAGTACAATTAGACAAAGCTGTATTGATAATAATAATAATAATAATAATAATAATAATAATAATCATAATAATAATAATAAAGACATATTTTAAAGAGGAATGCTATTTACTCTAATTGAAATTGTAATATCAGTTTAGATAACGGTATTGCCCATAATCTAGTATCACCTAAATTGATATTCCAACTCCAATGAGCCTAAATATCACTGCTCTATTTTAAATGTTTATTTCATTATATAGTCCTAGACGTATGCGATATAGATTAATTCTTTTTTATAGCCCATCATCAATTGTAACCTAGATTGAGATTCCAATCCCAACAGCCCAAATATCATTACTCTATTTTAAATTTTTATTTCATTTTGTAGTCCTAAATCGTATGCAATATAGATTAATTCTTTCTTATTTTTATTATCATTTTTCAGTTAATCTTCTAATTAATTTTTCCTTTATTAGGTTGCATAAACCTTGTTTGAACGTTTATATAACTAAACTAAACTAAACTAGCTCTCAGTCCAACAGGAACAGAAAGAGTCTAACCTCAATCCAACTCGAAGGGTTGTATTTGGTACTCATTTCTTTAAAGATTCAAATTTCAAAAACTTTGCTACTTGAGTGAAAATAAGCATTATCTTGTCCTCTCTAGATGCTAATTGACTTAGTTGTACAAATTAACTTTCAAGAAAACATCCAAGCTTGTTTTCAGACCAACTTATCAGCTTGTTCTGTCGAAAAAATCGACTTGCATAAGTTACTTTTCAAGTTCTAAATGCAACTTATTCCAAAATAAATCGCCAAAAAATTTAGTAATTGAAACAACATCTGTACAAGGTTTGAGCTTGAATTATATACAACTAAATCAATATCAGTTCAACTAAGCTCCAAACATTTTCAAGCTGGAACAAAGGCTAGAGCTCCTCGTGTAAACAAATGAAGAGCGCCGCATCCTAATCTCTCATGTTTAGTGCAATTCGGAGAGTGAGTCCAATCAATCATCTAATTTCAGGTTACTCCTGTCTGATCTCAATGATGAAATAAATCACATTACATTAAGAGCGATTCCTTAAGAGCTATGTCCACTCTCATAAAGTTTTCGACATTGTCTCACACATAGAATGACTCTCATTAATTTAGTACAGTACTAGAACCCAAAATAAAGAACACTGTTAAGGAAACAGGTCTTGTATAAAGACAGAAAGTACTGCTAAAATTAAGGACTAAGAAACTCACTTGTGCCATTGCCCGTAATAATGTGACTCTTATCACTTTTAGCCTGGGTATAAACATGGTACTCATTTCTTGCAATCATAATAAATCTGACATGTGAATAAGAGATTGAAATGTAGCCGAAGATGACTCTCCGACATGACAACACCAATGAATATTGTGTCCTAATAAGAAATACAAACATTTTTCATATAAACAAACCAGTGATTAGCTCACCGGCAAGTCATCCTTGGCTTCACCATCCATACATCTTATCCACATGCAAGACCATTTTTCTGAAGAATCAAGAACACTCAAATGCGTGTGACTGGATAAGTATTTGATTTAAGCTATGATGTTAAATTTGAAGAGATTTAGGGTGACATACTGTGACTAGAAAAGAGAAAGCTCAGTGGTACTATTGGAGATCATGTAGGGGTAGAAATATTTTGGGCATTATCTTCTTCATCTATTTTTGTATTTTGAGCTGTTAGAAAGCGATTATTTCTAGGCACATTGCCGACCGATTGAAGCTATCCACATGCAGGAGAAAACCCTTCCTATTGCTTTCTAATGAAGTAAAAGAATGATATTTTTAATAAATTTGATTTCGACTAAGTCAATAAGTTTTTAACTCAATTTGGCGCGTTGCAACATTTACTGGAGTTATTCCAACTAAATGAAGTGCATATTATAAAACGTGACAAAAATTACGTTTATTGTCAACTAATTGTAACTATTTATTTGGATGGAATCAAAAGTATATAAATGCAACCACCACTCATTTCTATCTATTTAAAAAAAAAAATTCATTTGACAAGTTTATAATTCATTTTATAAAGAGATTTAGTAGTGGGGTCCCATGAAATGTGTCGATAATAAAAATGAACAATAATTATGAATATATAATTGAAATTAATATTTGATTGACTAAATATATAAAATAATTTATAAATTGAACTGAAACGGATTGTTAGATTTTAACTAAGTGACTAAATGGAAGCAAAAGGGAAACTTCGGTGGACCAATTTCAAACAAAAATAAAGTTTGATGAAGCACAAAACTTGACTATAAGTTCAATGGCTAACAATGTTATTAGAATAAAATCGGCATGTTCAATTGGGAAATTGAGAACTAGTTCAAGAATCAGTGCGATTAGAGCATTTTCAATATGTTTTATAGATCGCAGTCTATGTGAAGTATAAATAGAAAGATTTTTCATCCACGAAACATTGATATTTGATTAATTGACATCCAAGTTCAAATTTAATCTCTAAGAAGTTCTATCTATAACTCAAATTTCATCTAATGAATATTTAATAGGGAGAAAGAAAAATAATAAACACGATTGACAAATGCAACAAACATGTGTGTGTGTGTGTGTGTGTGTGTGTGAGAGAGAGAGAGAGAGAGAGAGAGAGAGAGAGAGAGAGAGAGAGAGAGAGAGAATTTAAATTTTGCTTAGTCTAAATCTAGATGATTATCTTATAATGTCGGCGAGATAGCCTCACTCAGATTATATTGAGGAGATCATTTTCAACAATGTTTATATTACTAACTTTACATTTTTTATTTTTTTTCACAATCTACATTAACATTGAAGCATCTTATATGAAAACAACTGAAAATTTAGAAACCGGTAAAACGAGCTATGAACAAGCCCAATTCACCCCCAAATTTTATGATTATTGTTATTATTAGTTTAGACTCCTTTGCTTTAAGATTATGTGACGTCATTCTTGAGTATGATATAAATAAAAAATTTCTTCTTACCTATTGTTTGGTGTATTTAAATATCAAATTTTTAGTACATTTTTGATGAAATTTAATTAAATGTATGATTGTAAAGTCACGAGTTCCATAAAATGTGATTTTTAACAAAACTTTGAGACACACACTAGGGCTTAATAAACTTAGAGGGTAAGTAATACCAACATGCCAATAACAGCATCAATTCCAATTTAATCAAAGATCCACTGAGCTCTAACACCAACCATTCAACAAAAGTTAAACAATATTTTGATCTCAAAAGAATCTCAACTCTTTCATTGCCAGCTACAAATTCTTGTTATCCAAATCGAATCAGTCCCCAATATCAATGGAATAAATTAAATTACAGATGCCCCCATTTATTCTATTTAGTCATCAAAGAGTGCAATCTGTGTTTTTGCCTTCTACTGCAGGTCGAATTCTCCAGTAGCTTATCGACTCTAAGATCAGGTACACTTCTTTATCTCTTGACATGCAGTGCTCGATTAGACGAAAGTATCAACACCTTAACATGTGCACGCGTGCGCGCGCACATGAACACACAAACCAAATTGTATATGATTAGAACATAGCAAGCATCCCGATTGGGAGGCATATGTGTATGAGTATGACAAGGTTTAACATGATAGATAGAAGCTATAAGTAAATTTCAATATTCATGCTTAGCACTACTAAAACTGTACAAGTTTACAGTGTTGCCAAGAAAGTATTATCCAATGTCAGGGGAAAGTGATCAAGCTACTCAGGAGAAAATTAATCTTCTTAATAGTACTCCAGAAGTTCAAGAGACTGAGAATTCATCTCCGGGAGATCAACAAGATATCGACGTAAAGGACGAAAATCTCATGCCCGTCCAGCAGCAGGAGGTACATCGATGGACAACTTTCTTTATTCTCAATCATCATATAGAAATTCGAGTCCAATGACTTGTTTAGTGTGATGTTGGGGTGCAACAAAGTTGCTATATATGTAGCCCATGGTTTGGATCACTCAAATGATAGTGATCTAATGCCATAAAAAAGTTTAATCTGACCTGTCCTCACTGGAACACGAATATATTTCAGATGAGATGGTTGAAATCCGGTTCTAATGGTTTGGACTTTTTTCATAATTTTCTTTATGTTATCTGTCTATTTTATCAGGAGGAAATAATTAAAAAAAAGTATGGAGGGCTATTACCAAAGAAAGCTTCACTGATCTCCAAGGTAATCAATTACACGTTCATCACTTGTCAATATCCCAAGGAGTTCTAAAGTTCATTTGCTTATTCGTAACTTTGACATTTTCTGCCAGGACCATGAACATGCTTTTTTTGATTCTGCTGATTGGGCTTTAGGAAAGGTAATTTTTCTTCTATTACTGGAGTTTTCCTGTCAATTAACTGAACAGAACAGAACAGAACGGAGAAAAAGGATTCATCGGTGGCTAAAAAATTATAGGGAATAGACTTAGTTTTGAATGCTTATATCATGACATTCATCATCGTATGACAGCAAGGAGCCCAGAAGAGCAAAGGACCACTAGAGGCACTTCGCCCAAAATTACAGGTGACTTTGGTGCTTCATCACATAACTTTACTGATTTCATCTTCCAATTGGACCTCATCCTTTGACAATTTAGTAAGCATAGCACTCAATATTTTCTGCAAATACTATGTTACATCAAGAATATAATCAGGTATAGCACATCTAAGACTTTCTTGAACTGTATTCGAATTCATTTGAAAATTTAAATGCTAAGTACATCTACATTAAAATGGACAAGAATTAAGCTTCATTTTCTTCGGTAATATTATCTAGTCTAGTATGGTTACTCGTATAATTGCGTCTGACTTTTCCCGAAAAATTTCATAGCCGACACCACATGACCAAGTGCGTTCAAGACGGACAGCTTATGCTCGTACAGAGGATGGCAAAGGTATGCCAAACCCGACGTGCCATCTAGCTCATAAATTATACGGTTTTACGTTCTCTTTTTAACAGTTTAATTAATGCTACTTTTTCCTCTCGTGGCAGATGGTAGCATCCACGATGATACTAATCCTAAAGAGGATCAAAGCATGATATTGGATAAGACCACCGATTGCAGTGACTGTTGTGAGGATCACAATTGCCAAAGCTGACAATGTTCCGTTTTAAGCACTGAACTTATCCTTCTGAAAGAACCTTCTTCGAGTGATTTCTTGAGTGAAATGTATCCGTCATCCATTTTTGTAATCTTGAATACATAAACATGGTGACACAGATGAGTCGCCACTCCTTTATTTCTCGAAGGCCAGTAAGGTCTGTTATTTATGTGTCAATTTTGCCCACGAAATTACTTTCGAGGCAAACCATCTTAAAACTGATTACAGCACGTGGAAGTCAAAGCAACCTCGAAAGGTCAACACTTAGTGTCCGTTTGGCTCTCTTTAAAACTCATTAAATTATTTTTCCTGTTACTTTTCAACCCATGACTGTCACTTTTCTCATCCATTGACAGTAGTTTATTTTAGTCAAATGGACCGTTGAAGTAACTGGACAAAAACACCCTCTAACATCAATAACAGGAGACAAAATTTCCCCTCATTCGATCACCCTTATCCACATTCCCATTGGTTAGTGGTTGTAAGGATATTACTGTCATTTAGGCATATACAATGAAGTGAACCTTCTATTATTAATGAAAATCTTTCCCATACATTCTGAACAACTTGACACATGGAGCCGCTTTTGTTTAAAAAATGTCAAATAATGAGAATTAATGAGTATTAATGGGAGCCAAACAGGAGCTTAACAATACCTGGACAAGCTCATGTCAAGAGAAAAGTAAATATATTAATCACCATAAAAGAATTTAAACTACTATCGTTAACAACGTTGTACCTACTATGTCATCAACATAGGAAACTAGTGACAACTCACGACATTTGCTACATTCCTCATGATGTGCAAAGTGATATAATTTTATAGCATTTTTATCTGAAAAAATTGTAGATCTTAAGCCTTTACTTGTTAATATAGCCGTTGACAATTTGTTTGAACTCGTCAGGGTCGTACCTGTGCTTTGCATGGCCTGAGGCGAACTTCGAAATTTGGGTTCTAGGCCCTAAGTCGTAGCAAACAATCCTTTTTTTAAAAATAAAAAATAAAAAATTAAAAGTTTACGAAATTAAATTTGTTAACTTAAATAAACAAAAAACAACAAATAAATTTTTTGATGTTCCTTTCTTCTCTTTTCATTAAAGTATTTATTCGTTTCTTTTGAACACATGGGCATGGTAGGTTAAAAATAAAAAAATAAAAATAAAAAATGGTAAAAAGTAAAAAATGGGCCCCTAAAATTCTGGGCCTGAGGCGGAGGCCTTTTGGGCCTCCCATTAGGTCCGACTTTGGAACTTGTGACTAAAGGGCATTGTGAAATCAAGAGTAATGCTCAAATTCACCGGTCCTTCTACCATCCTAAAAACTTGCCACTGGCGGAGAATTATCGACGTTATAGTTTGACAACAGAATTTGACAAGAACATTAAGTTTTGGTGACGATGAAAAATTTATAATGCACCATTGCTGGTTCTCCGAGTTCAACATGTCAATGTTTATATTGCAAAGACAAAGTACCATACACAAGACTATGAATATGAATTGCTTGTAGTTGTAGTTTTTAGTGTTGGAAAATTACATCGATATCGTGCATATTATATTTACAAAAATATATCGTTTATGTTCACATAATCGAAACGTAATTTCGACTTACCAAAATGGATTTGAAGAGCAAAACAATAATAGTTATCGAATCCGAATGCATGGATCTAGATTCAACCATTTCGATTCTTGAACAAAAGCAAATCATTCTTTGGATTGAACTTGCACCATAAGCATATAAATAATGTTAAACATTTTTTAAAATCAAAGTATAATTAAAAGATATCAGAAAATGAAGAAAGAAAATGCAAGTGATGGATATTAGCTGAGGCAAGTGCTGTAAACTTTCTCCTTAAGAGTGAAACCATAAATTCGCACCACCCAAATGGCCTAAACTCAAGTTTCCACCTTCTTCTGACTCCTCGGATTTTCCATTTTTTCTCTATTCCATTCATCGTATTCTCCTCATTATAAAACCCTTCCTTTGCATCTCTTCTTTTTTCTCTTCCACCAATATTCGCCATTGCTTTCTCTCCTACCCTTTGTGGTTCCTGAAGGTGGGAGTTTGATATTCTGCTGAAGAAAACAATTAGTCTTTGCTTCAATAGGCTTCTCAATTAGTCGTTTTAAAGCGTAACCATCGGGATTTCTTTTCCCAGATGTGATCAATGAGTTAAATAGGTCAAACCCATTTTCTAACTTTTCATTCCTATTTGAATCAACCTGAATTGCAGGTTTTTTCTCCTTAATTTTTTGTTCATAACTGTTACTCAATTTTTTGAGTTGTAGGGTTGGAATTTGATTGTAAAGATTGATTATGCTTTGGACTATTCAAATGGTTGCATTGAAGTTTACAAGGCCTGATGAAGGAGAAGAAGAGCACAAGACTCTACCTTGGCCACTGAATTTTCCTAAAGAACAAGATGAAATGGGTTATTGGAAATGGTAGAGTGAGAGTAAATACGTGTAAGGTCCAAAATTTTATACTATTAAATTGGTTGATGTAGCCCATTTAAGAAACAAATTATGGAAGTTCGGTACATGTAAGGTTATAAAAGTCTAAGCCATAAGTTATTTAAAAGTTCAACAATTAAAAACATTAAGTTTAAGTAAATTACAAAGATTCATTGAAATACTGGGTTGTCATAATGATCATTTATATGGTATTTCACATAAGCAACCTAGGTTTGAATCATCATGCAGGTGTTTTTATAAAATATTTTTTGAGTTAAAAACTTCTCATTTTGCACATGAAAAACAATTATATCGAGTTAATTGGATATAATAATTGTTTTATCAGTGGGCGTTCATAGAGATATGTTACAAATCATATGAATAGTTCATTTTCCTCTATTTTTCATTATGTAAATATTCTATAAGAATTATTTTTAGTTAAAGACTCAATTTAACAAAGTTAATCATAATATAATTCTTTCATTTTAGTTTTTCATTAAAAATGAAGGTTACAAGAAGAGGAGAGTTACCTTTTCACTACACCTCTCTTCGAATCCGAATTTACTCTTATTTTTTTCTCAAAAATGTCTCTATATTAAATTAAGTTTAAAGGAATAGTAATGGTGTGAAAGATAAAGGTTTTTGCACATTTTGTTCATTTATATCTCAAGAAAATCAAAGTAATTAGTGCTATGTATTTACTCTTTCTATTCATTATGAGTGTGTGTGTGTGTGTATATATAGACACTTGTAATGTGTGTTAGATTTTTTGAAACTATGAATAAAGAAGTTTATGTATGGCTGTAATCGATTTCTATGACCCCAAGGGATTCTTAGAAATCACGAATTATCCGGTATTCATCTACGTGAAATGTTAAATTCTTTCCTATCGCTTTGTATATGTGTTGTTGCGGAAGCTCTCTTGAAAGATCTTCAAATCGGTGATTTCCGGGCTCAGTCCAACGCATCTTTCTCAACCAACAATCAGTCCAATCGGTTCCAAACCACAACCAATTGATTCACCTTGGTTGCTATACAATCTTACCCATGTAGGACAAGAAATGATGATGATTTATGGCCACAAAGGCTAGGAGAAGACACCACAAAGATATACTATGAACGAACCACCAATTGCACACGTTATATAAGCGTTTTAGACATTTTTGGACACCTTTTTTCTCACACAAAGGGGGGTAGCCGGGGTTCACTATTTCTTCTCTCAAAATCACACAATTATCATTTGAAAGTGGATAGGGTTATAGCCAAATATATACTCTAGGGTTAGGCTTTAAGTTGGGCCATTAAAGGGGTAAACGGGCCAAGATTCAAGCCATCCATAAGGAATACAATTGGGTCGGGTGTAGCTAATGAACTTGGTTGTTGGACTTATTTCATTCATCGGTCTATACCTATGAAATAATATTAACCCACGTTAACATTATAGCTCGGGATTTATTGGGTATTAAAAAACCCAACAAATTTTCACCTTGATGCCCAATAAATCTGCAAGCAGTCAAAACACATAGTTAGCATTTGCATAATCAAGGTAGCCAATAAAATTGAATTACAGACCCTACCTCGTGTTTCCAACTTGAAACACATACCATACCTGTTCCATGTACTCACTGGGGTAAGGTAAAAAACACTCAAGTAGAAGCAAATATTTAACAGTAAACAATCAAGAGCAAATACACGTGCGATGACGATATACTATAGGATAACACACATAGATCTTTTCAAAAATACGTTCACATAGAACCATAGATTAACACCAAGTCAATCAAATCACGGTCAACCACATATGCGACACATGCATAAATGACCCTAAGAAAAGATCTCACCACACTTATCCTATCCCATTCCGTGTTGCTCACACCTCGGGAACACATATCTCCTCTTATCGCCCACCAAGCTCACTAGACAGATCACTCAACTCATGTCTAACTGGCAAGTCACAATAGATTCTGAGTCCACGGGATAATCCTCTATCTCCACATCACTTCTCCCAACCTACATGGATAATGGGTCTTCACCTAACAGAAGTGATAGAAGTGCCTCTCTCACACTTCATCTGATCAGGGTCACTTTCCAGATAAAGGATTCTAGACATTTGATCACATCTCCACTCGTAATCTAAATATCACAATCCACATCCCCGGTACAAACTACCATGTACCCCTAGGTATCTATACTCCACCTCACCAAAAGACACACAATACACTGCTAATGCATCCTAACCTACTATGCATGCAAGCAATTACACCAAGTAATCCTAATGTCTCAAATTCATGCAAATGCGCATATCAAACACATTGAGAAGTAGCAGATAATCACGTAACAAAATTTAGACAATCACACACATGCAGAAAAGGATCACACACAGATGTATATGCAGTGACTATGTTTACACATAATAAACCTTACTCGGGTCATAACTAGACCCCTCAACCAAATTCGTCTCACCTCTCATCTTATCCTTCAGCTTATCTTTCTTCTTGGGACAGTCCCTAATAAAGTGTCCAGACTTACCACAACTGTAACACCTCCTACCACTAAACTTGTCTCGTTCCTTGCCCTTCTTTTTACTACCTTCATCACTCGAGTCACTACTCGAATCACTATTGTCTTGAGTTCTACCCAAATTCATTTGCTTAAACTTCATTCTACTCCTCATCATATGTAACTCACCACTCCTCTTATCCTCTTTTTCAGCCTTAATCTCCATCTCCTTACTCCTAAGTGAGTCTATGACAATCTCGAGTGTTAAGGTATCCCTACCGTACTTAATTGCATTCTTAACCTCTCTATATGACTCAGGCATGGAATTAAGTAAAATAATAGCTTTATATGTTTCAGACACCTTTTCATCACAATTAATGATGTCTTGAACTAATTTGTTAAAGACATCCAGATTGTCGTTAAGATCTTTTGAAGGATCCATTTTAAAATTGAAAAATCTTTCAAGCAAGTACAATTTAATAGGAGTGGACTTAAGCAAATATAAGTCCTCCAACTTTTTCCAAAGTTGTTTAGTAGAATCCAATTTTCCAACTTTTCTCAAAACAGTATCAGACAGGTGTAAAATAATTGAAGTGTATGCAAGTTCATCATACTCATCTTTTTGTGCTTCTGTTAAATTTACAGGAAATTTGCCATTTATGACTTTTGAAACTTTTTGTTGAACCAAAATACCCTTCATCTTTTGTTGCCAAATTGAAAAATCCCCTTTTCCATTAAAAATTTCAATTTCAAAGTGTAAAGACATTTTTAAAAATTAGAACAACCAAAGGCACAGATACGTCACACAAAGTTATCCTATGGCCTCAATATACACCGTTCTAGATTCCTTGGGTTTCGTAAGATTCACGATCTTAGATCAATGGAATGTTCGAACGGGTCAAGTTTAGGTATTCTAACAGGAAAATCAATGCAACACGAAGGTATGTAAACAAAAGTTCAAATTTCCACGCAACAAGTCTCACACAGTGACTATATGACAGGTAAAGCACAAAATCAACTACCAATTTGCAATCAAAGCTCAACACTTCAAAAAACAAAGCAAATAATTCCTAAATTTTCTAGCACAAGCAATGGTTGCCAAGCAATGACAACCCCCAATCCTATTGATCACCCCACACAATGATCTGCTAGTGCTGAAATTAAAATTGAGATAAGCCAATATACCAGAGCGGACCAATCTGAGTCCGTAAATTATGAGACACGCGAATTTAACACTTTAGGACCGTCACTATTCGTCCTAAAGTCTCTAGAAATTGCAGCAATCAAGAAATCACAATCGAGTCCCGAAGAACAATGCTATCTAGATTCTTCTGTGTACCCTGAAACAGAAAACTTTCAACACGAAAAATGTCCGAAATAATATGAGGAACAAACTGCCTAAAGGGACCGTCGCCAGAAAATACTCCACAGGCCGACCAAGTCTCTGCTCGTGGCCTCCATGCGCCTCTGCCACACGCCTCATCCGTCCACACGCGCCTAACCGCCTTGATCACCACCACCTGCACGTTACACCAGTGGTCTCCGTTTTCCCAAACTCCTTATGGATTGGTCAGAAAATACCAAAACAGGGGCTAATTTTTAACATTTTTCTGGACAGTTTTTCGATCTGATTTTTGCTACGTTTCTGCTGATTTTCTGGACGATTTCTGGTAGATTGCACGAGCCAAAACCTTCACGTTGAAGCTCTGATACCAATTGTTGTGGAAACTCTCTTGAAAGATCTTCAAATCGATGATTTTCGAGCTCAGTCCAACACACCTTTCTCAACCAATAACCAGTCAAATCGACTCCAAACCACAACCAATTGATTCACCTTGGTTGCTATGCAATCTTACCCACGTAGGACAAAAAGGATGATGGATTATGGCCACAAAGACTAGGAGAAGACACCACAAAGGTATACTATGAAAGAACCACCAATTGCACACGTTATACAAGCGTTCTAGACACTTCTGGACACTTTTTTTCTCACACAAAGGGGGGCGGCCGGGATTCACTATTTCTTCTCTCAAAATCACACAATCATCATTTGAAAGTGGCTAGGGTTATAGCCAAATATATACTCTAGGATTAGGCTTTAAGTTGGGCCATTAAAGGGGTAAACGGGTTGAGATTCAAGCCATCCATAAGGAACACAATTGGGTCGGGTGTAGCTCATGAACTTGGTTGTTGGACTTATTTCATTCATCGGCCTATGCCTATGAAATAATATTAACCCATGTTAACATCATAGTCCAGGATTTATTGGTATAAAAAAACCCAACGTGTATGTGTGACAAAAATGGTGCACCAAGTGATACTAGCCCTACTGAGCTTAAAACTCACAGCTTCTATGTTAACAAATTTTTCAGATTAAAGGATTGGTCGAGGAAGTGTGATTTACGTGGATTGCGGAGGATTCAAAGGGAGAAATGTGCTTCATTTGTGTAGTTTGTCAAATTTGAAGAGTTTCCAATTTTTACTAGTTATGCAACTTATATTGAATTTTTAAAAGATGTTAGTTTATCTTTATTTAAGATTTTCTAGTTCTTTTTCTTGATGTGAACATTTAAATTGTTATTTAGTTTATGCATGCATATAATTAAAGTTGTTGAAGAAGTTAAGATAAAATGCTAGACTTGTAAACAAAAATTTTCAGCTTACTGCATGAACTTTGAAACATCATTTTAGATAGATTTTTTTTTTTAATTTTTGGACAAAACTAGTGAGGTTTGAAAGCCCTACGAGTCATCTATCTGTTGGCTTTGGAATCAAATCAATTGAAGGTCGGTAAGATAAGTTATGTTATTTTTCGTGTACTATATTCAATGTATTCGAGAACGGTGTTTTTTTGGAAAAATTGCACTAGCGGTCTCTAACCTTTTCATTTTTTGTAGAATTTACCCTAACTTTCATTTGGTGTCATCGAGGTCCTAACATTTCGTAAATATGCACTTGAGGTCCATTCAGACAGAAATCGTCAAAAACACCATTAGTTGACCGAAAAAATTAAGGAATCAAAACATCAAGGTGTCAGCATCCAATAAAACCATCGTAGTAGCAGATAGTTCAAAGAATTTTCTCGATCAACTGACGGTGTTTTGAACGGTTTCCGTCTAGATGGACCTCAGGTACATATTTATAAAAGGTTAAAGACCTTTGCTAGCACAAAATGAAGGTAGTGATAAAGTCTGCAAAAAATAAAAAGATTAGGGACTGCTGCTGCAATTTTCCATTTTTTAACATGTTTGAGTGTCTATTGGAGTACTTAAATGATCTTTAAAAATTCTGAAATTTTACTATGTTGTACTATGAGTTTAGAAAATACTATAAAAAATTATAGAATTATAAATCCAATAAATGGCCCAACTAAGCTTGATCATTAGATAGCGCGTTGTTGAATTTAACTTCGTTAATGCACACTTACTTTCATTTTAACCCTTCGTTTTCAGTTTCATTATTTAACAAATCAAAGTTATCTACCTTAAGTCACTTGTTTCCAATAAATTTTCAAATTAGTAATATAATGCAAGGGTAACTAAGAAGTTAAAGGGAAGTTAAGAAAATTTCAATTTAACCTGAATTTTTGAAAGAAACAAAATGAACATTATTATTTTTGTACTAATTTCAAATTTCAAAATTTAGATCGTTACAATATGTGTATGAGGGGTTCTATAAAGTTTTAGGAGTGGCAATGGATCTGGGTTGATGAGTTTCGAGGATTTAACCAGTTTTGGGAATGCAAATGTTTAAAAAAAAAAATAGATTTGAGTGACTTTGTGTTGTTGTTTGAGATTTGAATTATTTGAGGTGATATTTGTGGTGGCGATGGTGGAGGATGTGATGTCAGGTAGATGGACGATAATGGCGGCAATAACCTATTTCATGGGTTTTGGTGTTGGGTAGGGGGTGGGGACAGGGTGTTTGGAGAAGATCGAGTCATTTTTTTAATTATTTTATTTTGGAAAAAGTAAATTCAGTAGTTATCCTTCACTTAATTTGTTAAATTGAGTCAAACATTGGATTAGGAGTTGACTAATGGATAAGTGGATGGATTTTCTCAAATGATCTCCAGCTACAATGAAAGTTAAAGGTTTGGGACCGCGGTCGCAAAAATGAAAGGTTAAAGTGTATTTTTCAACAAAATGAAAGGTTTGGGACCTCTACTGCAATTTTCCTAAAAATACTATCATTGTAGTTGACTTTCTTCTTTAGAAGCTTTCTAAATTTTGTTCCTTATTTGGGTTTCCTCGTGTAGCAAGTGGTTCAGAGCTCTATAGGTTAGTTTTTGAATGATAAAATTCAATATTTTTTATTTTTTTTTTATTTTTGGAGTAAGTGTGAGTGCGTGGTGAACTTATATAACTTTAGAAATGAGGGCTTGAGTTGGGGTGAGAATCTCAAATTTAAAAAAAATAAAAAGCAAAACATTTGGTTCTCTATTTTTTCTTGGTCACCTATCTGGTACTTTCAGCATTCTTCCTATTGTTGTTCATTTAGGACAGAACATTTTGTGCATTGATTCTTTTGATGTTTCGATGCATGGTATTCGTGATATTAATATTTCTGCTCTGATTTTAAGTGTTTGGCTTTTTGCGCACTTATGTACTTCAACAGGGAGAACATTCTTTGGTCTGGTGATAATTGTGCTCGTTTTGCCTTTTTCATTGTAGTTGCCAAGTAGGAACTTGCGTCTGGGTGCAAGTTTTTTCCAAAGATTGAAGGATCTTTAAAATCAACTTGATATGAATAAAACTGATACTTCCTCCCCAATTTCTCTTCCGTCCGTCTAATACTTCTCCTTCCATCTCCCCCTCTTCTCTTTTCCCACTCCTTTCTCTTCTCTTCTCTTCTTCTTTTCACTTCCCCTTCTCCTATAATTCTACTATCTTGTTTTATTGCATCCTACATCACTTAAGCTTTTGTGGGGCTAACAGTTGCATAATTTTTTCAGGTTATACTTGAGTGCTGATGAAAATTAATTTACTGTGAGAAGCCTGATTTTTTGTGAGAAAAAAAAGAATAGTCCCTTAGTTCCTCTGAGCTTTTCAACTATTGTTTGATTTGAGCAGGGATTAGGTCTCTTGTTAATCTTGCGAATGGCTAAAATTGGATCCCTTTGTTGTGTGGCTGCAAGGCCACATGGATCAAATATGCCCAATAAGAATTTGTCTGTGGAGTCACATAAGCCCTACTGGCGAACTAATATAAGCTTTTCACCAGCGCCTTTAAGATGGGATTTTGGTTTCCAATATGAAGCGCTGTCATTTGGTTCTTGCGATGGCGTTCAACTGGCCTCCTCTGCATCATCAAACAGCAGAGGAAGAGGAAGTCAGATGAGTAAATTCTTAACCCCCCCCTCCCCAGAGCCGGTCCTGTGATTGTCGGGGCCCGAGACGAAGTCCATAAATTAGGCCCCCGAAGAAATCAACGTAAACACAAAGTTCGACGAAAATTATGGAATTACACCCTTGAGAATTCCCCCGTCATAACTCACGAGCCTGAAATAAAAATTTAACATCAAATACCAATACAAATTTGAACATGATCATCAAACTTAAGAAAATAACAATTGCACAGGAGCACATTTAATCAAACTTAGGGAAATAACACATTTAATAAGAATTAATCACCATTAAAACAGTGTCATCAACAAAATAAATTACTTCAAATTTATCTTTTATAGGGGACAACCACACGGAAGCAATTTGCCTATTTACATAAATTTATATCTTCTACCATTTTTATCTTGAGAACTTAATAACTGAAATAAAGCAAAGAAATTGAAAAACACTATTCTCAAAAGACCCCTCCACAATAAAAGAAATGCCTTGAGTGAATTAGCAAGGCAAACAACTCAAAAGATACCACTTATTTACTTCCTATTTCTTCATGGAAATGAGTAATTGTCCAACA